AGTCTTCCCAGGGATGTAAATGGCAACTAGTGATCAGTCCTAATGCAAGTACCAGTTGGAGTACAGATCATACCCACTGTGCCCTGTGCAATATTCTTCAGGCGGCAATCAGTGGCCCGAGAGAATTTCAAGGTTAGCCACAAACCTGCCCCTCATGATTAGATGCTGTATAATCAACTAAGCTAATGTGCTAATCTGAAGGGAAAAAAAATTGGAAATGAGCATATATGTGGTTTAAAATAAACGTGGATCATTATTGCATTAGGAGCTAGGCATGAATGACAAGACTAGATTCTGACTAGCCTGTGCAGAGCACAAGTTACAAAGGTCCTTTTATTCCTTTCTTGGTCTCTGTGCTTCCAACGCACAAAGACCAGATCTGTCTATACTAACAGTGACACTAGATACCCCTTAGAAGTAAGATGAGGTAATGTGATACCATTGCTTCTCCATGGCTTCCATGCTGTCCACAAGGCAGGACTGCTGCAGAGGGATATGTATGCTTCACCCTTTCAAACAACATAATAGCTCCTGCTTTTACATGCATTCTCCAAAAGCTCCCACATGAATTCTGGCTAAGTCAGCCCAAATGCCTTTGACAACAGCCACTGAGGAGATGTGCCTCAACACATTCCTGTAACACAGACTCTAGCTATAAAAGCTGAACTAACTCCTTACTTCACAAATGATTTTCTGGTGTAATGACCAGTCCTCACAGCAGAATTCATATAGTTTAAAGAAGCACATGGTACATTCAGCCTTATATTTCACCTGCCATGCCACTGTCATGGTTAGTAAGGAAGATCCTTAAACTTACAAATATTGGCTAAAAAGTGACAAACGTACCACTAAGTTGCAGTAAACAAGAAGACATGAATGATTCAGTATCATAGGAGTGGGATTAAGAGAGGAAACACTGGAAGTCTGAAGACCAGGGTTCTGCTACCAGCTTTTCCACAGACTTCCTGGATAAGTCACCAAACCTCTTTGAACCTCAGTTTCTTCCTTTGTAATAGGTTGTCAAGGTGCCCTAAGTCTGCAAATGCTTTGGGATGCTAGAAATACAAAGTCTTTTCATAGGTATTATTTATTCATATTATGTCAGGCCTAGATGCCGCAGCTGAGATCAGAGCATTGGAAAACTCACTGTTTTTCTCTGACGGAAGGCTGGTGAGGACATTTTCCCGCTGCGTCATCTAGAGTGGGGGGGGATTTAAAGGCACAGCAACCTTTTTTTTTTCTCAACCAATTTTTTCCCCCACCATGTTCAGGATTTTTTGGGAAAGTATCTGGAAACTCTCGCCTGACATCACATAAGTTTTGTGGTAGAGCCAGGAATTGAATGCTGACATTCTGCATCCCCACGTATGTTTTAACCACATAACCTCCTCCACATTTCATTATTATTTCCCTGATTTGGACTTGTGACACCCTCTATGAGCACTGCATCCTCAGGTTTGCTGACAATATCCCCAGCGCTTGACACCTTTGCTAATGCCGGGCACAAACAAGTAGTGTTTTCCCAGGCCTGTGGACAGGGGGGCACAAAAGGGACAGTTCCCGTAGGAGCAGGCAATTTAAAAGTGTCCAGGGTTCATCAGCCCTGTGTTTACCAAAGGGGAAAGGATAACACTAACAGGGAAATATTTTTATTACTTTTCTGTACTTCAGACTCGAGCCCTCAGGATTTCTCCACTACAAAGTCACACTCTCCATCGCTATCATCACCTGGCCAAGAACTGGAGAGGAATCAGAGGAAGCTTATATGGGGCTATCAGCACCACTTCCTATGTAGCCAGAGGGGACTTTTGTTATCTGCTGAGAGTCTCGGACTCTTACCTTGCAAATGACTCCTCGTGGACACAGAAATCCAACTACAGTACAAAGATGTCATTTCAGGACTGGGGTGGAGGCGGTCAAGCACACAGTGTCTGATCTGCACCTCACAGAAGCCTGTTGATGAGTAACATTACTGAAGGGTATAGAGAATTATATCAATGTAAATTATATAAGAATCAAAGCTAGCATTCTTTTTAATACTCCCAGCTAGGGGATGAGGTTGTGAGGATAGAAACTCAGATGGGAATTGAACCTGGCAACTCACAAGGTAGCATTTAGTTCCATCATTCAGCCAACAGCCCAGCCTAGGAAAAGAAATGGTACTTTCCAGCTCTTTAGCAAGAAATTCAAAATAATGGACAAATATGTGAATTGAAAACATTTTTATCACACATTTTTAAACAAATTAGGCTTATTACATTCATTTTATCTATATGGAGTCAGTTTTATTACTTAAACAGTCATACAAAAACGTGTTTCCTGTAAAAATGAAACCAGTATTATGTTCAACTCCCACATGGTTTGTTTTAAAAATATCTTTAAATACTATTAAAGAACAATCATTCTGTAAGTTTATATCATGAGTGGGAAGTAGAAACCATCAATGAATCATATTATTCCTACAACTGTAACAACAATATGAGCAACTATGGTAATAACAATAAGTTTATGCCTACTGTATATCTGCTGTGTAGACACTCTCCTGACATGTAATCCTGACATGTAGTGGTGGCATGTGTAATATGCTTTTTAATTGTCATCCATTATGGATAGCCATGCAAAGTAAACCTTTTTTTTTATTAATTTCTCCACCACTCACCAGCAATATGATCATGTATAGCCCCTGAAAAGAAAAAAAAATACATTACATTAGCCACTATCACATGTTGTATGTCCATTCTATTGTCTCTTTCTCTGAAGGCCCTCATATACCACAAGCCAGCACAGGACTACCAGAGTTGGGCAACCTTGTAAAAACATAGATTATAGATAAGGATATTGGCAGTTCAAGCTCTGCACTGTGAAAGAATATCTTCTCGACAAGAGTTAATTAATTCTATGTGCCATTCAGATATAACAAATTTGTCAGTTATTATTGTTAATTGCTGTGGTTGCTTCTGTCCTGTGGGGTAAAACTTTCAAAGCTTAAATCTGTAACTTTATGAGACACTTAAAATCATTGTCTTAATAAAGGCACTGGCTTTATGGGTTATTACAGCAATCTATAATCTAAGCTCACTTTTTGTCCTATGACTATCGGCCAATTTTCCTTAAATTGTTCCTTAGAATATGTACTAACTATTTATGCTTGATCTTGTATGTAGCTGTGACACTCTTAGCATCTTCCCCAGAAGAAAAGCTCTGTGTCGCTCAGAAGCATTTCTTGCACACCAACAATAGTTGGTCCCATAAAAATATTACTTCACCCACCTTGTCTCACTAATATCCTTGGACCAATATGGCCACAAGTACACTGGGTAACAGTTTCAGAGTTAACTGTGAATTTGACAACCTTCCCTACCCCTAACCCTCCATCTTCCTCAAGGGCTCCCACTTTAGGTTTCAGGCTCCCAGCCATTACACCTCTTTTAGGTGGAGACTCAAATCTTTCTTCTTCCAGACGAGCATTTTAAGCTTGCAGTTCCCCTGTGCCTCGCAGTGATTTCCCCAGCAGGTGTGACAGGGGCCTAGGACCTGTGGTTAAACGGTCTCCAGAGACTACAGCAATGTACATGGGCTACAAATCAGCCTTCACAAATCAAACTGTAATTATTCTAAGGTTAAACGCGTAATAGAGAAAACATATAAAGTTCCTACACACTTACTAAAGCTTATGAGAGGTCACCCAGCCATCTTAATTAGCCAAAGTCCTTCCAATACTTCTGCAAAGGTTACTGTAACGAGGTGTACCAATCCCACAATGGCCATAGGGGTGGAGGACAGGCTTATTGGGTGGAGAAGGCTCCTCCCCCACAGTCCTACTGGGCATGCTTGCACTGCAGCTCTAGTATAAAGTCCAGAGAAGCTGGTCAAATGGGGCTGGCTACCAGGAATGAAGGAGCTCCTGCCCTAACCTAGGATCAGCAGCCTGAAGAGCAGCAGCCTGAGGAGCAGCCTGAGCCAGAGGGAGCCGCAGCCAGAGGGAGTCACCGACAATGAGAGCCGCAGCCAGAGAAGCCACAACTGTAGGAGCCGCAGCTGGAGGGGCAGCATGAGCCAGAGGGAGAGGCAGCTGGATGCCAAACCATGGCCTATACAGCTGGACAGGGGTAGGAAGTAGGGAGCCAAGAGGCTGCCCAGTGAGCTTACTGCATTTTGGAGGAATTTCCCCGCTGAGCTGATGGTTGGGAACGTGCCCACCACCAACAGGGCCCTGGACTGGGGCCTGGTGGAAAGGGTGGGCCTGGGTCCCCCAATCTTCATTCCCGTGACCCTGCACTGATCCTGTGAATGACTAGGCCTCTGGGCCTGACTGTGAGTGACTAGGCCACTGGGCCTGATCCGGTGTGACTAAGCTGCCAGGGACTACTGGTGAGGGGTCAATTTGCGGGGTGTCACCTCCCTCCAAAAAGAAATAGGGCAGAAGGCCCCGTCACAATGGTGGAGAATGTGGGCATAGCTTAAGCGATTTGCCCTTCCCCCTCCTAGGTGTCCGGTATTCACCTGGACAGTCCAGTACTTTCAGATCCTGTCCAGTAAAAAATGCAGAGAATACCAGACACCTAAAATGTCCGGTATTTTGTGAATTTTTCCCCAGCCAGGAGGCAAAAATGCCGGGCACCTGGCAACCCTACAAACACTCAGCACCCGGCCTCCTCCTCCCCCAAACCCTCCACTGGCTCCCAACACCTCCAGCCCCTTGCTTACCTGGTTCCCCAAGGCAGCCGGCACAAAATGGCTGCCGGCCAAAAGACCTAGGGGAAGCAAGGCTTTCTCCTGGGTCTTAGTGCTCAACTTCTCCCCTGTTCCTATCCCTGCACTAAGTCTTAAAGGGAACATGCTGTTTTAATGCTGTTTTATTTTAGGGGTGGTTTTTTTTGGCTTACTTGGAGACCTTTTTTTTGTGCTCAATAACTTTGGTCTCCCCCCCTTTTATCCCCTTCAACAGAATTTTTTCCCATTTTTTGGAGGGGGGGGGTCAGTATTTTTGTTTCAACCATCTGGCAGCCCTATCCACTCCTCACCCCCAGTACAAGAGGGAAGGTCGGGGACTTTAAAACAAGCCCCAGTACAAAGAGAGATGACTTACTCCAAGAGCAACAGATACCCCCCTGGGAAAACCCACCAACCAGTCAAAGCTGAGCCCACTGTTACGAGTGCAGCCAGGAGGGCCATTTCAAATGAGAATGTCCATTCATGGACTGCTGCTATGGACAGGTACTGGTTTCAGGGGCACGAGCTCGGAGAAGTGACCAAGCAAAGATAGTAATTGTGGTCAGGGTGAATAGGATAGCGACTGTGGCTCTAGTGGACTCAGGATGTAGTGAGACCTTCATATGGGATGGACTGACCACCAGGCCAAACTGGTGGAGAATGTCAATGCAGCTACAGTGTGCATGAGGACACTGTGGGGACATGAGGGCGTACCCCACAATAGGGGTATCACTAGCCATGGGTCGCCACAAGGCAAAGTTGGCGTACCTGGTGGAGTTAGGCTGAGAGTGGCCATACGTTACAGACCTCCTGCAAGGCAAAACCCCTGGAAAGACCCCAGCCCCAGGAGGCAGTGTCATTCATAGACCACTGCAGGTGGGCATTGACCTAGAAGGGGACTTCCTTGATGAGCAGAGGAATGACACAACCCTCAGCTGGGCCTAGGAAAAGGCGAGGAAACCCTATCCAAAGGGGACCCAGTCGCAGCGTAGAACTCAGGGACCTTAGTTCAAGATCTGAAACAGTCTCCTGTATCGGCTGGTCACAGATCCTCAAACCCAGGTTGAGATTTGCCAACTGCTGCTACCCCAGTGATTCCGGCCAGCATTACTCCAGCTAGCCCATGCCATACCATGGGTAGGTTACCTGGGCCGTGAAAAGACACTGCTTAGGGTGGCCCAACAATTCTTCTGGCTAAGGATCCACTGAGAGGTCATTGACAATTGTGCCTCATGTCCAGAGTACCAAAAGACTAGTCCTGGACGGGTCCCACAGTCGCTGTAGATACCACTACCAGTGATGGGGACACCATTCGAGTGCATAGGCCTGGACCTGGTGGGCCTGCTGGAGTGGAGCACAAGTGGGAAAAAGTATATTTTGGTCATTGTGGATTACACCATGTTACCCGGAGATGATCCCTTTACGAGTCATAACCTCCTGGGCCATCACAGATGAACTCCTAAAGGTATTTGCAAGAGTCAGGATCCCGAAGGGGATCCTGATGGACTAGGGGACAAATGTAACATCCAAGCTCATGGCTGGATTGTGGCAGATCACCCTCAGACAGATGGATTAGTGGAGTGGTTTAATAGAATTCTCAAGGCCAAGCTTCACAAGTTCGTGGAAGAAGACCGGTGGCTTTGGGATAAATGGTTGCTGGCTCTCCTGTCTGTGGTGAAGGAGGTACCTCAGGCTTCCACTGGGTTCTCTCCCTTCAAGTTATTGCATGGATGCTACCTAGAAGGAATCCTGGACCTAGTGAGGGAGACATGGGAAGAGCAGGAAACACACACCCAGGGGTCTGTCCACTATGTGCTGCAGCTAGAGGAACGGCTGAAGGAGTTATGCCAGCTAGCCCATGAGAACCTGCAGAAGGCACAGAAGGACTAGGCGTGACACTATAACCAGGAAAGAAAGGTAAGGCCCTTTCAACCTGGGGATCAGGTGTGTTGCTCTTGCTATCCTCAGCAGAGTTCAAGCTATTGGCAAAATGGCAGGGCCCATTTGAGTAATCCGAAGGGCGAGTTCCGTAGACTGTGAGCTACTGCTTCTGGGGCAGTGCAAAGAGTTCTGATATACCATGTGAACTTCTTAAAAGCCTGGAAGGAACAGGAGGCTGTGCTGATCACCCCTTGCCCTCCGGAGCCAGAACTCAGGCTGCAAGCCGGGGGCTCACAGGAACACAATCCAGTGGACCTT